GTGTGTAATGTGGAATTACACATACTCATGCAATGATGCAAGCTACATTACCATTAGCCGCCCACACTTCCTGTCCTTAATACATGTACAGTGTAGCCTCTTTATTAAGGACAACATTGGGTTCACACTACCTGTCCTGAATACATGTACAGTGTAGCCTCTTTATTAAGGACACCATTGGGCCCACACTACCTGTCCTTAATACATGTACAGTGTAGCCTCTTTATTAAGGACACCATTGGACCCACACTACCTGTCCTTAATACATGTACAGTGTAGCCTCTTTATTAAGGACACCATTGGGCCCACACTACCTGTCCTTAATACATGTACAGTGTAGCCTCTTTATTAAGGACACCATTGGGCCCACACTACCTGTCCTGAATACATGTACAGTGTAGCCTCTTTATTAAGGACACCATTGGGCCCACACTACCTGTCCTTATACATGTACAGTGTAGCCTCTTTATTAAGGACACCATTGGACCCACACTACCTGTCCTTAATACATGTACAGTGTAGCCTCTTTATTAAGGACACCATTGGGCCCACACTACCTGTCCTTAATACATGTACAGTGTAGCCTCTTTATTAAGGACACCATTGGGCCCACACTACCTGTCCTTAATACATGTACAGTGTAGCCTCTTTATTAAGGACACCATTGGACCCACACTACCTGTCCTGAATACATGTACAGTGTAGCCTCTTTATTAAGGACACCATTGGACCCACACTACCTGTCCTTAATACATGTACAGTGTAGCCTCTTTATTAAGGGCACCATTGGACCCACGCTACCTGTCCTTAATACATGTACAGTGTAGCCTCTTTATTAAGGACACCATTAAGCCCACACTACCTGTCCTTAATACATGTACAGTGTAGCCTCTTTATTAAGGACACCATTAAGCCCACACTACCTGTCCTTAATACATGTACAGTGTAGCCTCTTTATTAAGGACACCATTGGGCCCACACTACCTGTCCTTAATACATGTACAGTGTAGCCTCTTTATTAAGGGCACCATTGGACCCACACTACCTGTCCTGAATACAGAGGTGTCCTCATTTCAGAGGTACTTTTGTATGTACATATATTTTATATAGGCTATGTCGTTACCTCCTAAACCAGTTAGGACAAGATCCAATTTGTCATTTTTGCCACGGCTACCTAATGTGTATAAGAGCTCCTTCTATAAGGTATTACATTATATGATGATTGTACCTACTTGTACTTCTATT